AAAAAAAAAAAAAAAATGTCGAGGGGAAAGAGGAGGGAGGAGCTGTACGTCACCGTGCCGAACCTCTTCCGGTGTCCGATCTCCATGGACGTGATGAAGTCTCCCGTGAGCCTCTGCACCGGCGTCACCTACGACCGGAGCTCCATCGAGAAGTGGCTGTCTCTCGGCCACAACACCTGCCCCGCCACCATGCAGATCTTGCCGTCCACTCGCACCACCCCCAACCTCACCCTCCGCCGCCTCATCGACCTCTGGCTCACACACGATCAGCCGTCCCCGTCCTCGCCCTCGCCGCCAATTTCGAAGCAGCAGGCGGCCGACCTCATCAACGCCGGAGGATTCGATTCGGATTCGGATTCCCTCGCGAAATTGATCCGGTTTGTGGCTGTTTCAGAGGAGAACTTGAAATTCGTTGCTCGATCGGTTGATTCAGTGTCGAGATTCGTTGGGGCTTTTACGGAGTCCGGCGATATTCGGATTCGCGAGCTGATTTTGGAGGTTTTGGATTTGGTTTCGCCGGTGGATGGAGTGAGGGAGATGTTGAACCGGCTGATTTTAAGAACCGGCGACGGAGGGGACTGTCTGTCGGCGTTCTCCGCGGTTTTGCAGAGAGGGAAAACCGAATCGAAGGCGAAATCAGCGAGGATTTTGGAATTAATCGCGATGGATCTCGAATCTCAGCGCAAAATTGGAGAAAATACGGAGATAATGCACGAACTGTTGAATTTGTGCATCGAAGATAAGGATCCGTCGGCCGTGGAGGCCGGCTTGTCCGCCTTGCTAGCGATTTCGACCACCAGGCCGGTGAAGAAGGAGCTGATCCGGCTCGGCATAGTCCGAACCGTAGGGAAGATCCTCTCCGGCCGGGACCGGCCGGCGCCAGTTCGCGCGGTGGCAGAGAAGGCGCTGGAGACGCTGGAGAGGGTGGCGACGTGCACGGAGGGGAGGGGCGCGATCGCCGGGGACGGTGAGTGCGTGGAGGCGGTGGTGAGGGGGCTGGTGAAGTTTTCCGGCGCGGCGACGGAACACGGGGTGGCGGTGCTGTGGAGCGTGTGCTGCCTGGCGCGGGACGCGGCGGCGCAGGAGAGGGCGGCGTCGGTCAACGGTTTGACCAAGGTACTACTGGTGATGCAGAGCGGTTGTAGCTCGGGGACGAGGCAGATGTGCGTGGAATTGGTGAAGGTGCTGAGAGCGAAAGGTGGGAGGTCCAATCTGGCGCCGTACGAGACAAGGACCACTCACATCGCGCCTTATTAAATTCACGACTCTTCAAATGTGGTCTATTTTTCATCATTATTTCTGTATTTAGGATTTTTTTCAGATTTGATTTTTCTTTTTTTTTTTT